GAATAGACAGAAAAAATGATGATAGATAGATGATATAGTAGGAAAAGATGTGAGGAAGAAGGGAGGAAGGAGAGAGAGGGAAGGGACAAGGAAAGAGGGAAACTGGAAATTAGAACTATGCCAGGTAGAGATGGGGAGTGCAGGGGGCGGTAGCAAGGGCCGCTGCTGTGCATTAGGGATTACGGTGGTGGAGCGTCTGTGGTACTCTTTGGCAGAGGACCAAGGAGAGGGAATAATTACCTAATAATTACCTAATCCTTACCTAGTAAGGATGAGTAGTAGAGAGACCCACACCACAGCTACGGCACAAGGAAAATAAAAACACGTCATATATCTCATGGGCCAAACCCTTGTGGAAGCCAGAGGATAAGGGAGACTTGGATATAATTTACCCAGGTCCTCCTGACATCAGAATGGAGTGGAAAACGCTGAGGTTGTTCCTACGTGGCAAACAACACACACCGTTGTTGTGTCAAAGTCAACTGGAACACTGGATTCAAATATCCCAAAACCAGGCCCTCCCTGTGGCACAACAGGTTAAAGTGCAGCACTACAAAGCTGGCCGCAGCCACCTCAACACATGTTCAATCCCAAGCTAGGGAGGTAACCCACATGGCACAGCAGACTTCTGTCTCCCCTCAGCAGTGTACTTTATCCATTTGCTTGTTCTGCTCCCCACTCTGTCTCTAGTGAATCCTCTCACCTCCCACAACTCTGGCCTGTACCATAGTTCTGTATGCATAAATAAATACATCTTTTTAAAAATAAATAAAATTTAAAAAATATATATCCCAAAACCTTGTGGATACCAATGAAGTCACATGCACACGAATCTTCCAATCACACTGGTCCATTCTTCCCTACCACCAGTGCAGGCTTCCTATTACCCAACCTGATATCCGTCTCCCACACATTACAGAAATCCCCCGTAAAAGAGGCATCTCATGCTTACTAAAAACTCATCTCCCTCAGGTATAAAAGTGATTTTTTCCCAGCCACCCTCTGTGAGATGTGAGTCTCAAAGGCCTTTTAAGGCTGAGTGACAAAGTGGGAGGGAAAATTACTTTCTTCTCTTTTATTGCACTCAAGAAGAAAGATCCCCAAACTTATTTGTACCCCAACAGATATTTGGCTTTGATTCCTCCAAGGTTTTATTCATGTACACAGCCAGGATGGACTTCTCTGGGGCCAGTGATTCAAGTATAAGGAATTAATTTGGAAAATCATTCCAAATGAATGATGTTCAATAGGAACATTCCAGAAAGATCCAACAAGGAAGAATAAGTTGCTGCTATGAGCAACTGAAGCTCAATCTTAATGGGCAGCCTCCAGATCTCTGAACCACACCTCCACATTACCCCCCGCCCCCACCAAGAGGGAAGCTGGAGCTCTGTGCACCAACTATCATCAACTTCTCTTTTTTTTTGTAAGTAAAATATTTATTTATTTAATAATATAATAGTGTATTTTTACATCATTTTGTGCTTTTTCCATCTTAGTTGTAATCCCCAGGGGCTTCCCACCACCAAATCACTCATGTGCCATCACCATAGTCCAGTGCATTCCCCCCTCCCATTTCTGACCCCATTCCCTACTCCACCCCAGTACAATGTCTCTGGTATGTAGTTGTTCATTATTATTATTATTATTTTCTCCCCTGGTCCTGTATACAATAGCTATGAGTGAAACCATCCGGTATTTTTCTTTTTCTTTCTGGCTTATTTCAATAAGCATGATCCCTTCCAGCTCCATCCATGTTGCTGCAAAAGTCATGTGTTTATCTTTTTTGGTTGCTGAGTAATATTCCATTGTGTTTATGTACCACATCTTTTTACTTTTGGCATTTGGGTTGATTCCACGACTTTCCTACTGTAAATAAAGCAGCAGTAAACATGGGGGTGCAGTTGTCTTTTTGAATCAGTCTTCTTGTGTATTTTGGGTAGATCCCTAGGAGTGGAATTGCTGGGTCATAGGGAAGCTCCATTTTTAGCAGTTTGAGAAACCTCCAAACAGTTTTCCATAGTGGTTGTACTGGTTTGCATTCCTACCAGCAGTGCAGGAGAGTTCCTTTTTCTCCACATCCTTGACAATATTTGTTGTTGTTAGTTGTTTTAAATGTGCCATTCTCACTGGAGTGAGGTGGTACTTCATTATGGTTTTAATTTGCACCTCCCTTATTACAAGTGATGTTGAACATTTTTTCATGTTTGTTGGCCATCTGCATTTCCTTTTTAGAGAAGTGTCTTTTTTAGCTCTTCTGCCCATTTTCTGATGGGGTTGTTTATTTTTGTTAAGTTTCATCAGTTCTTTGTATATCTTTGTGATCAATCCTTTATCACTAGTTTTGTATGAGAAAATGTTTTCCCAATTAGCATCCACCTCTCTTTTGCTGAGAGTTGTTTCTTCCCCACATCAGAGAAATCCCCAAGGTGGAGTTTCAGGTGCTTGTTGTTAGTAGCAGTCAAGCATGTACTAGAATGGTAACATCCAAGAAAATAGAGAAGGCACCCTCTATACAAGCCCTAATTAGCCTGAAAAAAAAGGGCAGAGGGTGGGCCTATATACTTCACTATTCTACTCCCAACAACGTGTTCAGGACTTGGCATCTAGTAGATGTCCTAGGCCAGATGAATAAACACGTCTTTAAATGAGACAAAAATAGAAGAAATGGTTATATCCCTCAAAGTGTTTGCCAAAGGAAGGGAGGTGGGGAGAACATTTGTTAGTTGTTTTCACAGAATTCCTGTTTCAACAAACTTGAATGTCCTAAATTTACTCACCCTCAGAGAGTCCCAGAGCGGAGACTAATTGCTTCAAGAGTCATCATATTCCATATGCCATTGCCACTAGTAGTCAGAGCAGGGTTCTCAAAGGCCATCTCTGCCTCTCAAGGGAAACTAACAATTTCTAAGATAATTTTGGTTGTCCCATAGAAAGGAGGTTGCTGCTGGCATCTACAGAGGTGAGGGATGCTGTTACACATCCTACAATGGGGCCTCCCTGGTGGCGCAGAGGTTAATATTTCAGTGCTCTCAAGCTATCCCCAGCCACTGCAGCATGAGTTTGACTCCCTCTTACCCACTACTCCCTGTAGTGTGTATTTCAGTAGATCGTCATGTTCTGCTCCCCACTGTCTCTGGTGAATCCTCTTACCACCTTTCCTCCACACCTCTGGCCTATACCCCAGTTCTTATATGCATAAATAAGTGAAAATTAATCCTTAAAAAAAAATCCTACAATGCACAGGACGGCCCTACATAGCGCTGAACAGTCTGGGCCCAGATGCCAATGGTGACACAGCTGAGCAGCCATAGGTTAGAAGTTGGACCCATGACCCAACTGGAGTCAATGGAAAATCAGGTGTTTCCCAGTCCCCTGGAAAATGTGGTACAGTCTCTGGTGCTACCTTATTTGCTGTCAGAGGGGAGCTAGAGCTGTGTGGCACAAGAAGAAGTGGGCTGGATACCATGTGGAGACTAAGGATGAAAATTAAGCCAAGAAAAATACGGAGAAACACAGACTTTGTTCACCTGATTTGAGCCACTAATCCAATTCTCCCCTGAAGCTGGCTCTTGTACATATGAGCTACTACTTTTTTTTAATGTTAATGTTTAAAGCTTTTTAATTGAAGAAACATTGGTTTATATAGGCTTCAGTTACACAGCTTTATAAACAATCTCATGTCAGCCAAGTTACTAGATACTCAAATTATGAGGAGGGATGTGCTGACCTCACCCACCCCCTCTCATGTCCTTGTGACTCTATGTGAATCCTGCTCTCTGCTACTGAGCAGGACAGAGGCTCTAGTCGGCTGCCTCCTCATCCAGAGACAAGTAAAAGAAACCACTTTCCTTCTCCTCAAAATGCTGATCCTGCTACTGATGAGGGGAATTGAAATGAGGGACCTGGCCCTCCCTGGTGGCGCAGCGGGTTAAAACACAGCACTGAGAATCTAAGGCCGCTTCCGCATGAGTTCAATTCCCGCCAGCCCCGGAGGTGACCACATGGTGTGGCAGACCTCTCCTGACCCGCCCGCTGCTCCCCTCAGCAGTGTACTTTGACCATCTGCCTGTTCTTTTGCCCACTCTGTCTCTGGTGAAGCCTCTCACTGCCCCTGAGCCTCTGGCCTGTACCCCAGTTCTGTATGCACAAATAAATAAAAATCTTTAAAAAAAAAAAAAAAAAAAGAAATGAGGGACCTGTCAGACAAGCCAAATGGGCTCACCCCAAGTTATCTCCAGAGTCAGAGGTTTGACCACCATCAACCCCACTTGATCCAGACAAAAGCAATGACGCTGAGTGTTAACTATTCCTTTATTAGGTGATGAGAGGAAGTGAGGGCTGTACAATGCAAGACCTGGGAATTTAACTACACAGGATGATGACCAGAAGCATATTACAAAAATAGCCTAAAAATACTTCGATTCTGCCGTGGGACTGGGTCAGGGAAATACCAGGAGGGGTGCCACCAGGCAGCTCCTTCCCTTCCTGCAGTCCCACGTTTACAGGGATACAGAGTGGAACACAGAGCTCTTCGCTGGTCCTCACACTCCCACCAGCCCCCGGCCCCAACATTTCCCAAAGGAAGGTGGCCGAGGGCGGGGCGGGGCAGGACTGGGGTCTGGGGAAGGGCTCTCCACATCAGAGGGGCCCTCCCCCCAGCAAAGCTACTGAACAAGATCCATCTGGAATGCAGTGAAGTGAGAGAGGTGGGGTGGGGAGGAGGCTCCCAAGTTTTGCCTGACCCCAGGCCCCAGAGGGTGCACCCAGGGGTGCCTACTTGGTACACACCAGGGTCGTGTACTCAGTACACAGGATCCTGGTCATGTCTGTGTACTCGGTACACAGGATCCAGCTTGGCCAAATGGGCCCACAGTCTCAGCCCCACGGGGGCACTGGGGGGTTCCCAGGGGGGAGGGAGCATCTCCATATATATATATTTTTTTGTAAAAAATAATAATAATAAGTTTGTTTAAATGAATTTGTTTCTATACAAAATGTAAAAAAAAAAAAAAAAAGAATAATAGTCCACTCATGTCAGAGTGTAAAGAGTGAAAGAAGCTAGAGGAGTAAGAAGGTGCGGGGGACAGAATTGCAGGAGGAGTGTGAGCAGAGAGGAACAAGAGGAGGCCCCAACTCATCATGACTGAGAGGGTAGCAGGCAGTTGCACCCCTTATAAATAAAGGAAGACTGAAGCTCTGAACTGGTGACCCATATGGGTCAGGCTGTGAGGGGCGCAGGGGTGCAGAGAGGAAGGGGAGAGAGTGTGTCAGGGAGAGACAGAGAGAAAACAAGGAGGGGAGTCAGGTAGGACTGGGTGTGACTTTACCCCCCAACATCCAGGAGTTGAAGAGGATCTCAGGCCAATACCTGCCTCTTTGGGGTGACTTCAGGCTGGGGCCCCAGCTGGGTCTGCGCCTGAGCAAGGGGACCAGGGACAGACAGGGGGAGCGGCTGGGCAGACAGGGCCACGGCGTTCGTGGCAGGGGCCCTGGTAGCAGTGACTGCAGTGGCCGTGGCCGGGCTGGGCATGGAGTCTGACCAGTCTGAGAGTGAGGGAGGTGAGGGGCTGGCCCAGTGCTCAGGGGACTCAGGGGATGGGGTTAGGTAAGGGTGCTCACTGGGAACCCGCAGGAAACGGGCCTTGGGGGGGCTTCCGTGGGCCCCAGCTGCCGGGTACTCCTCACCATGTCCCGGGGCAGCCAGGTATGGCGGGGGCCGCTCCTGGGGGGACACGGGGGTCCCAGGGTTCAGCAGCTGGGGCCCCGGTGCCAGCGGCAGCAAGAACGAGGGGCCTGGTGGTGCAGGTGGGGGAAGCCGGGCCCAGTCGAGAGGTACAGCCACGGGGTTCAGTAGACCCAGGCTGAGCACACAGCCTCCGGGAGGCTGGCGTCCTAGGCCAACACAGCTGGCACCACCAAGCTGCGTCAGAGACATGGCCGTGGCCGTGGCCGTGGCAGCTGCATAGGGCCCCTCGAGGGAGAAGCTGCCAGGGGATGCAGGGGTCCCACCGAAGGGTCTCGGGGAGTCCAGTGAGTCCACAGGGGAGAGGGTGACTGAGCTCTCGGCCAGGGGGCCAGGGCACGCCAATGTCAGCTTCTTGCCCCGGCCCCGGGTGCCCTGTGACCCCAGCCCTGCCTTTCCTGGGGGTCTCCGACTCTTCTTACCCCCTGACTGGGCTGTCTTGAGACCTGGAAGGAAGGCCCCAGGAGGGCAGAGAAGGGGCCCCAAACCATGGGGGCCAGAGGGGCTGCGGGGCCCACTGGGCTGGTCCAGCAGGCGCACGATGTCCTGGTGCAGCCGCTCCTGGGCCACATCCCGTGGGAGCCTATCCAGGTGGTCGGCGATCTCACGGTTGGCAAAGTGGTCCAACAGTAGCTTGGCAGCCTCATAGCTGCCCTCCCTGGCGGCTAGGAACAGTGGCGTCTCCTCCTGGGGGTTGGGGGAGCAGGAGCAGATGTCAGGGCAGGGTCACCAGAACCAGGGTCAGCATCAACAAGGCCTCGGGCTCCCGGTGGACTCTAGTTCACACTCTCCAGACTCACAGGCCTGGGCTCAAATCCCAGCTCTGCGGCGGGAAGCTCTTGGGCAAGTTCCCTCCTTTAACCCACATTCCTCAAGCACTTACTAAGCAACAGGAACCAGGTGATAAGAGTGAGGCATGGACCTTAGGCAATAAATTTAAGGGGCAAAAAGACTTCAGTCATGAAAATAAGTGATATTTTAAAGCATTTTTAAAAATTCGATTTAATGCAAAAAAATTTCAAAATAATAAAATACCAAAATGTTATGTATGGACAGAAGCTACCTCTGTACGCCTTAAGCCTCACCCTTCCCTTGTAAAGTGGGGATGGTCGTACTGTCTTAGAAATGTTTTAATGAGAATCCACTAAGCACTTCTCAAAAGCATTAGCTCACTAACCGTGGTCAGAGGCAGTGAGGTGGGTGTTGTGGCTTTCCTACTTCATAGATAAGGACACCATGGTTCAGAGGAGTTATGCAACTTGCCCAAGGTCACGCAGCAACTGCCACAAATTTCCTCCTCTGAGCCACTGTTGGAGCGTCTTGGGCTGAAAGCCCACCACTCAGCAAGCAGAGTGAATGCCCTCACAGGACTACCTACCTGCTCCTTGCCACGTGCGGGGCTTTTGCACCGAGGGCGGGGGCTCACCTTGCTATCCTGCATGTCCTTGTTGGCTCCATTTTTGAGCAAGGCCAGGGTGGCCTCCACATTGTTGACAGCTGCTGCCCAGTGTAAGGCTGATTTCCCTAGTGGGAAGGAGAAGAGGTCAGAGTCCGTCCCAGCTCATACCAGCCCCCCATGGCAAGTGGAAATGAAGGACCAGAATATGGCTTGGAAGGAGAGACAGGCCTGCACGAATATTTTATAGCTCAAACTGTAAAATATTTAAAAGAAGGGCTCTCCCTGGTGGTGCACAGGTTAAAGCGCAGCACTATGAAGCTGTCCACAGCCACTGCAGAAGGAGTTTGACCCCCCACCAGGGAAGGGGTCCCACATGGCGTGGCAGACCTCTCCTGTCTTGTACGCTGCTTCACTCAGCAGTGTACTTCCTCAATCTGCCTGTTCTGTTCCCCACTCTGGTGAATCCCCTCACCCTTGCACCTCTGGCCTGTACCCCAGTTCTTTTATGCATAAATAATCTTTAAAAAAAATTTTTTTTAAACCTGTAGGTAGGTCTTGGTTAGCCCCAGCCACATCTCCTGGGAGTTGTCATAGATTTGGGCTATTTGCAAATGTATGGCACCAGCTTGCCAGTAGATGGCAGCAGAGCAAGTTCTTCTATCAAAGCAAATGGAAATGAATGATCTTGGGGAAGGGCTCCGTTTTCTAAATGACCTCACCGGGACATGGCAGTATGAGTGTGCATAAGCTTCAGTGACTGGGTCACAAGGTGGTGTGAGTTCACACCATCACGATAGGTAGGGCCCAGGTGACACCCCCACAGCCCCAACCCACCACTGCCTCCCACTGCCTACCAAGTTCATCCACAGCATTGACATCAGCGTGACTAGCAATTAACTCTTCCACCATGCCCTCCACCGCCAGGCGTGCCGCCAGGATCAGTGCTGTGGAGCCATCCACCATGCGGGCATCCAGGTCTGTGGAGCGGTTCCGGATGAGAATCTAGGAGAAGAGGGCACTGAAGATAGAGTCGTGGCAGGAAAAGAGGGGTTAAGAGCACTTTTTTATAAAAGATTCATTTATTTACACATACAGAGCTAGGGTGCAGGCCAGAGGTGCAGGGGCGGTGAGAGGATTCACCAGAGACAGAGTGGGGAGCAGAGCAGACAATTGACGAAGTACACTGCTGAGGGGAACAGCAGGCAGGTCAGGAGAGGTCTGCTGGGCCATGTGTCACCTCCGGAGTGGGGACGAACTCATCCTGAAGTGGTTTTTGCTTCTTAGTGCTGTACTTTAACCCTCTACGCCACCAGGGAGGGCCCTAAGAGCACTTTAAAGCCCCCTGGTCCATAGATGCGCCTACTTCCACATCCTTAGAGTCGATGAGGTTCAGAGAGGACACTGAACTCCCAGGGACCCCCATTCTACAAATTAAAAGCAACTCTGAAAGGCAGAACTGGAGCTCAAACCCAGACCTCTCAGATGTTTGCCATAGTTCTGAAGTCCAAATGGCAGGTCCACCTCACCTGGAAGACACCCTGGGCATCAGCCGTGACGGCCGTGTGCAGGGGCGTGCGGCCTGAGTGATCCTGGGCATTGGTGTCCGCCCCGGCGTCCAGCAGCCGCTTGGCTGCGTCAGCTCGAGCATAACGAGCGGCCAGGTGCAGGGCTGTCTCGCCTGTTCGGTCAGTCCTCGCCCCAAGCTGGGCCCCCTGGCAAATCAGGTCGGAGATGATGCTAGCGGATGTGTCTTCTGCCTCGTCCTCCTCGGCTGGCATTGACTCCAGGGTCCCCCCACAGAAGGAGGCCAGCATCAGCGGGGTGAAGCCATCTGGGGGGAGAGGAGTGGAAGGGAGGTGGCACAGGAGCCCTTCCCGGGAACACTATCAAGGGCACTGTGTTAGGAGCAATGAGACACACAGGAGCACAGAAAGGAGGAGCAAATGGCAGGGTTCCATCCTTTCTCAATCGCTAAACAGCATTCCGCTGTGTATATGCCACATCTCTATCCAATCAGAAGGTATCATGCTCAGTGACATAAGCCATACAGGAAAGGATCAAAACTGCATAACTTCACTCATGCATAGAACACAAAGGAACAAGTCAAATGAGTGATCTAAATAAAACAAAAATAAACTTATGGAGAAGGGATGGGGGAGGGGGAAGGCATCAGTCAGGTGAGTCAGGTTAAAGGAGACAACGGTCTAGTGAAGAATAAAACTGGACTTTTAGTGGTAAACTCAATATAATGATGCACACCTGGACTCATGCGATAATGCAAAATTAAATTAAAATAAAAAAATAGAATTGTCAAATCTGCCCATTCCTATCTGCATGCACGCACACACACACACACACACACACACACACCTGTGTCAGGTGGCCCAGAAGCCAACCCAGAATGAGGAAATGTGGGCATGTGATTTGCCATAGAGAGACTCCTACACAATAATGGGTTGCAAGACAAAGGAAGGAGGAAGTCAAGCAAGCAAGCATTCAAACTCGGGCAATTCTGGAGGGTTATTTCAAGTGGACTCTGGGATCAATCCAGCTCAATCCTGAATCCAAATGTGTCTGATAATTCCAGTTATAAGAGCCAGTAAACCTCTTGTTTGACTTAAACTAATTTGACTTGACTTCACTATCACTTACAACCAAATAAGCTGTGCCTTCCATACTCCCACACCCACTGCTGAAGGGAGGCCTCCAGGACCTAAAATCCCTGGCCCAGCAGCCTATGGAAACTCAAAAGAGAACCACAGGTGCAGGCCATTTGGAGCAAAGGCAAAATTAAGCTGGGGGAAAGTACCCCAAAATGTGGCAAAGACAGGTCTAAGATAACATGAGCAAAAACACCCACCCTAGATTCACTTAGGGAGCCATCTGCACCCCATCTTCAAGCCCTGTGCAGAGCTGAATTCACTCTCTCAGGAACAGACATGTGGCTCAGGCCTGGTAAATCTGCATATTCCAGTCCCAGGTCACAATGATTGGTTCAGGGATCAGCATGTGACCCTAGTCTGTCCTATCAGAATATATCCTGAGACTTTTGTTGTTGCAGCTGAGAAGGTTTTATGAAGGGGTCACCGTGCCCCCGAGAGAAAGCATTCAGCAACAGAGCCAAGAGATGGTGATCACGGACCCAAATGTGTGTGATACTTGGAGTTACAAGAACCAGAAAACCTCTTGTTCTCTCTGAGTAACTCTGAACTGAATTATCACTTGCAATCAAGAGTCCGGATTAACACACCCCTGGAGACAGAGGCCCAGAAACCCCCAGATTTCCCCAAACACTGACCCAGATCAGTGGCTGCCAAGTTGGGGCATCCTCATCCCAAGCTGGAGGTGGCGGGAATGCCATCACTGACCTGGCCCTCGTACATTGACATCCATGCCGTCAGCTTCTGCATCGCCCTGGGGTGGTGTCAGTGCCATAGCTGGTGCCACACGGATGTCAGCGGCAACCAGGTGGTGTTGAGTCCACTGGCGGCAATCCACAGCATCCTCAGCCCCCACAGAGGGCTCCTCCACCTGCAGCCACAAGGCCCCAGGTTACCACAAAAGGGGAGAGTTGGTCTGGGGTCCCCACAGGCTTCTCTCACTGAGATACACACAAATCCTGCTCCTTTTAAGGACAAGGAAATGGGAAACTTGAAGTATTAGTGCTCAAAGAATTCATAAAGAAAATAACTGCAACTTCAATCCAGTTTGGAGAGAATGGCACCTGTCAGAACATACCTGTCTATCTAGAAAGTACGAACACATTCTATTGACAACAGTACCAACAGGAACAAATGTTTAGAATAAAACAATAGAAGTGCAAAACTTGTTTGTAGAAACTACGAATCACTAGTAAAAGAAATGCAGGGGCAGAGGAGTCCTTTAGCATTGATGTGGGAAGTAGATGTGCAGGTGGAAGGGAAAGAAAGTGGCAGGGAGATGCCCTGGACACCCTGTGGGGCTGCTGCCCAACATCACAAACATGAACGTAAGGTCCTGGCCAAACAGTCACGCACAAACATGTGGCTGTCCTGCAAAAGCCAGCATGTTGGCCACCAACAGGAGCCTGACACATTCCAGACTCATGGTCTGAGGCAAGAATGATGTTATAGAAACAGGGTCACATTCTTAACTAGCCTGCTCAGGTACTTAAGTGCCTGAGGGAAGGCACCCAACACAGAACCTGATCAAGCCATACCTGAGCTGAAGGGCCCAAGGGAAGCTGAGTTCACACAGAGAGAGGCAGGTGATGAACAGCTAACCAGAAAGGGTGAGATGTGGACCTAAGTTCTGAAGTATCAGAATTAAGGATCTGCCTTGCCTAAGTGTCACGTAGGAGCTTGTGACCCTGGACAGACCACATTACAGAACTGGACTGCTCACTGGCAAAGTCAGGAGGACACACATTCTGCTGTTAAAATATCAACAACAGTATACTGCATAGTCAAATACCTACTTTGGGATGAGAAAGAACAAAAAAGAGCCTGGCGCAAGCAGATTTCTTTAGCTGTCAATTGTAATGAAATCTCCATTTCACAAACTGAAATTGAGACAGCAAAGAGACAGCTAGAATTGTGGTGTCTATCAATGACTGCGTTATACAGTTCTTGTAAAGATGAAATGAGGTGTGCCTTCCAGATAGTCAGAGCTTGGCAAATTGATGCAGCGAGAGGCTGTTAGGGACTGAATTGTTCCACACAGTCAACGTGTTGAAGCGCTAAACCCCAACATGACTCTATCTGGAGACAGGATTTCTAAGGAAGTAATTATGGTTATATGAGGTCACAAGGGCATGTCCCTGATCCTATAGGACAAGTATCCTCCTGAGAAGAGGAAGGGACTCCGGGGCTCACTTTCTCTCTGTGCATATGCACAGGGAAGACCATGTGCAGACACAAGGCAGCCTTCTGCAAGCCAGGGAGGGAGCCTCACCAAGAGGCAAGCACACTGGCACCTCGGCCTTGGACTGCTAGGTTCTGCAGCTATGAGAAAATAAGTGCCTGTTGTCTAAGCCACCCAGTGTGTAGAACTTTGTTAGGGTAAACCAAACTGACTAAAACAGAGACCACCAATGTGGTTCCAAGAGTTACTGATGCTTGGAATCAGCTGGGAGCACGCTTAGGCGAGGCATTCTCAATAAAGTGGGACCTAGCAGAAAGCAAGCAGACAGCTCTCTGGCCAGACATCCTCCCCTGTCTAGAAGGACAGGACGGGATGGGCAAGCTAACTGTTCTCCAGAGTCAGAGAGCAGACACTTTTCCACTGACCACTGGGTTCCCACCCAGGACCTCGAGGGCAGGGTCAGATGAGAGGGCACAACCTTTAGTCGTTTGGCCTCCGGGCACTCCGTATCTATCCAGTCTGCGGCCACCTCCCCCATCAGACTCTCGCCCTTTGTCATGTTCCTGAAAGGGAGAGATGAGAGGGGACAATGGATATATGTGACCTGGGAAGAGGACCAGAGGTGGGGTCAGAGCAGGAGCACAAAGGTGAGGTCAGAGTCTAGGCTTGGGGTCCAGGGTCCTGGGTCAGTGGGCACGAGGCAGGCCTGGGTACAGGCTCCACTGAGGGGGTGTGGGATAGGGTTAAGGTTACAGGGAAGTCAGGTGTTCTGAGGGGTCACGAGTGGGGTCTTAAGGTGGGAAGGGACAGAACTGGAGATCGGGGTTCAGATCCATGGTTTTTGAGATACGTGAGGGTCACAGGCGTAGAGCAGGGTTATAGATCCTATCAGAGGTCACGGAGGATGGAGAAATGGCCAGGGTTGAGTAGATTGTGGTAAGGGGTTAGGAGGCCAGGAGTCTCAGAAGAGGGATACATTCAAGGTTTAGGCCAGGGTAGGGTTGAAGATCTTAAGGAATAGGTCAAGAAGTTGGATGTGAGACCCAAGGCCAAGACAGGGGTTGAAGATCATGAGGAATGATGTGGAAAGAGGGTGAGAGATCAGGGTGACTTAGGGCAGTGCTGGTATTAGGAGGCTCAAAATATAGGGGTGAGGGTGTGAGGTGCTGGGGTGCAAGCAAACATCAGTAGTGTCAGCAGTCTGTGGAAACAAATGCTAAGCATCAGGGTGAAATCAAAGAAGCTAGGGTTAAAACGGGACCAGGATAGGATTTCGGTAATGGGCACTTGGACCTAGAAGATACGGTCAGGGGTCATGACTCAGGAGTGATCCCCAGGGTCAGTGGTCGGGGTAGAGTATGAAATTCGGGTCAGAAGTCAGAGTCCAGGTGGATTCAAGGGCTCATGAGGCCCCACGTGAGGGACTAGGGTGCAGGAAGGGTCCTCACTTCATGCCTAGTGCATCTTGGCCCACAGGCTCCCGCCGGCCTTTGTGGCCAGTGGTCACGTCCTTGTGCAGCGCGAAGCCCTCGGGGAACCAAAGGGTGCTGTGCTCCCGCTTGCGCCGGGCCACCATGACGCCGAGGACGAGGATGACCAGCAGAAAGACGGCACTGGCAGCCAGCAGGGGCAGCAGCGGCATACTGGGCTCTGGCAGCTCCAGGGCCTCCCCTGCAGGTGGGAAGCGGAGACATCAACCCCAGCTCTTGGCCAGCCCACCTTGACCCCTGACTGGCAGGCAGGGGCCTCACCCCGGGCAGCCCTCAGCGGGTAGGGAAAGTCCAGGCGCTCCACGGCTGACAAAGCTCCCAGGTAGTCGGCTGCACTCTGGGCATCGGGGAAGCAGTGGTCATTCTCCGGCGACTGCAGGCACAGTCGATTGTCAATCTCTAACATCACCACGGAGCTACGAGGACATGGGGAGAGATAGGTTTGACAGACAAGGTCCTCCTTCCTGCGCTGAGTTCAGAAGGGCCATCTCTACTCACCCGCTCACCATGGCCAGAGCACCCCAACCTGGCATCCAAACCCACCACACCCCCAAAACCAGTCTTTCTGGAGCCACGAGGATCCTCTGAGCCATGGATCGGGGCAGTTTTCGTGCCCACATAAGTGGATGTCCACGGTGTGAGAGCAGATGGCTGGAGTAGACTGATGTCTCCATCTCTGAGCCCACCCCACCGTGGGAACCCCATCCTCGACCCACAGCCCCCAGTAGGTGCCAGCACCTATGTCTGAGCACTGGCTTCTCCCAGATGACAGCTGCCCCTTCTCCAGAGAACTGGCCATACTGAAGTGGAGGCCTCTTCACTTGCAAGGGGACAGCCCTGAGAGCACAGAACTGGCAGACAGGTATACCAAGGCGAGCCCTCCTGCCTCGGGCTGACGTCGACTCTGCCTGCTTCGTGCACTTCTAGAGTTACCCGTGAAGTCCGACTGGGGCTGGCCCTGCGAGGCCTCCGACTACCTACTTCACTTACTCCCCCGCTCCATCCTCAGTCCCTCTCTCCTGAGTCAGTCAACACACCCCATGTAGCATCCCCACCCAGGCTCTGCTTCCAGGAACCCAGCCCCTCGCAACTCTGTCTTCCTTGGGATCCCCAGCGCCTCATGCCCCAGATCTTCTGCTCCCTCTCTTTCTGGCTTCTTCCATCTCCTCCTTTCTGGGCCAATTTCCCTCAACCAACCCTCAGATCTCAGTGTCCAGAGATCACAATTCTGCCCCTTCTCTCCCGGTTTGAGTTGCTCCATGACTTCAATGACAGTCACTATCCTTCTTTCATGGTCTGTCCTCAGCCACCAGTCATTTTCTGGAGGTCTCCACCACATCCCCACAGTCCTCAAACTGTTCAAGTCCCAAAGTGACCCAGGTTTTCTGACCCGTGAACTCATCTGATCACTCGGTGACCCCAGCCAGGGAGGGGTACATAGCCACCCTCTTCCATGGCCCCCATTCCAGCCACACCCAGCCAGAGCCCCTTCTCTAAAATCCAGCTCTCTTCTGTGGCCCCGGCCCCTAAGAGGCCACACCTCCCTTCTGGCTTCTCACCATCAGCATAGTTGTATACTGTCCTTGTTGAAAAAAGAACAAAAATAAAAAACCGATACACATGTCCTCAGCCACTCCCCTAACCCCGTCTCTCCAGAAGTACAGAAGCAGAAAGCACTAAAGCTTGGGGAGAGGATAATTGGCAATTCTGCTGCCCAAAGGATGCTTTGCCCATGTCTGGGGCATTTTTGGTTGCTACACCTTGCAGGTGAGTGGAAGGGTGCTTTCTACGTCCAGTAGAGGAGTCCAGGAATGCTACGCAGCGCCCTGCTGTGCACCGGGCATGATCTGGCCCCACATGTCGGTGGTGCCAAGGCTGAGATCTGTTGGACCCACTGGAGAAGGCTCTCCAGGAAGTAAGGGTAAAGAACACGCACCGGACCAATGGTGCCCCACCCCCATCCCCCACCAGCCTGAGCGGTGGCGCCACTCACCCGATCACCTCGGCGGCCAGCTCCCTCCGGTTGCGGGATTCTGAGCCAGGCCAGGGCCGGTGGTAAGGGAAGACCATGGCCTGGCCGTTCTCGTCCAGGCGGAAGCGCAGCGAGGTGCGCAGGATGCCGCTGAGCCGCTGCAGAAAGTCGGCGCTGGAGCGCAGCAGCTCCTCGGGGGGCAGGAGCACAGTGAGCACCAGCACCCCTCGGGCCAGGAGGGCCGGCACTTCGCCCGCACAGTCCAGCCCGTCCCAGCCGCACTCCTCTGTGTTGCAGCCTTGGTCGCAGCGGCCATCAGCAAAGTGGTCGGCGCAGTACTTCTCGTACACCGGGCTGGGGGCGCAGAGGGATGGGGTCAGGGGCCTCTGAGTGCCTGCTCCCGTGCGCATGCGCCCCTGCACACACCAGCGCCGGCAGTACCCGCGCAGGCAGTACTAGCACGGGACTAGAACGGGTCTGCACGTCCCGGGCTTTCTGCAAACCAGCCATTTATTCGGCAAACCAATGGCTGTTGGCAAGACTGCCAGAAGAAAGGAGGATGTGATCCAGGCAAAAATCCTGGCTCGTTTGGTGTTGGCATTCCAGGGGACAGAGGCAGACATTAGGTAAGATGAATGAGCAGATCATATATTCCATTCACCAGTCAGTAAGTTAAATGTAAACACATGTACGCACAGTGCTATAGAGAGTTAAATAGTAAGGGAAAATATAAAACAGGATTTCTGGGGGTTAGCCAGTGAGAAACTCACTGGGACAGTGTTACTGAGCAAAACCTTGGAGGTGAGGAAGGCTTCCTGAAGGAAGAACCTTCCAGGGAACCCACACTGCAAAGGCCCTGAGGGAGAACCAAGGCTGAGTATCAGAAAAATGGCAGAGAGAGCGACTGGGGGTGTGGGTGGGGATGCCCACAGGGAGATCAAGGAAGTGAAGGGTTCCAAGCGGACAGAACACAGAGGGGCCGAAGGCGGCAGAGCACACGGGAAGGGCAGACGGTGTGCAGAGAACAGAGAGAAGGCTCATGAACCAGCACAGAGAAGGGTAGGAAAAGATAGGCAGTCATGGACAGAAAAAGTGGCAAAAACGGTTCAGGAAGGGACAGGACAGACAGAAGCACATGGATGAACAAAGACAGGCTGGCATACGGACAGCAAGAGGAACATCTGAAGGCCATGTACAGACAGCAAGGGGTCAGACAGGTATCTGTGAGTACAGAGGGAAGAAAGGAATTCAGGTGGACAGATAAACAGGGCACAGGGCTAGACATATGGGATGCCCAGGGAGTCAGGAAAAAAAACATGCAGGGTCATGGGTGGTCAGATAGATGGACACATTGAAAGACAGACCGGGCACACATGTGGGTGAGACAATCAGAAGTGGCACAAGAATGGGCATGTGAGGTGCACAGAGGGATGGGCACAGCACTAGGAAAGACAGACAGGGTACACAAAGAAACAGATGTGGCAGATGAATGGACAGCTGAATAGATGACCTAAGGATGACCAAAATGACAGGTCATGGCAAATGGATGGACAGAAAGAGAGGCAGGAAACAGAGGCAGACTCCATGGATGGCCAGCTATGGCACACAGACAGACTGACAATCAACAAATGTCAGAAGGATAAAGAGGCAGAGCCCATGGATGGTCCTGGGGCAGACAGACTGATGGGGATGAATAGATGGACACACTAACAGAGAAGCAGTCATATGTGAACCATGGCCAGGCAGACTGGGTGAATATACAGACAGACGGCCAGACAGACATCAGACTCACTTGCAGGAGCGCTCACGGCCCCCTGTGCGGCAGTCGAAGTTGTCATAGAGGCAGCCCGGGGAGCTGCAGGCAGGGTCGCAGCGGCTGTTGTTGAAGAGGCGCCAACACTGCAGCGCCGCACACTGCCGCCAGGGGTCGCCCACGCTCAGCGAGCAGTCGCCGCCATCCCAGCCGCAGCCACGGGTGTTGCACTCGCGGTCACAGCGCTTGTCCCCGCTTTTGGCCTGGCAGGAGGCGCTGGGGCACAACGGCTCCTCCGGGGCCTCGGCCACCGCGGCGGGCACCTCGCAGCGCGGCCCGGCCCAACCTGGCGCACAAGCGCACCGGTAAAAGGGCGCGAGCGGGACCGGGCGGCAGGAGCCCCCGTGGAGACAAGAGGAAGTCGTGCAGCTGGTGTTCGCATCCCCAGGGACTGACCCCCGGAAACCGCGGCAGGCGGGCCCCGATAGCCCCGGGGGACAGGCGCAGCGCGGCCCACGGACCGTCTGCTGGCATGGGACGCCCACTGGGCACTGCAGCTCCCGGCAGGAACGCGCCACCTGCTCGCAACGCGGGCCCCAGAAAGGCTGGGGGCCAGGTAGGAGAGAAAAAAAAAAGAGAGAGAGAGCAGAAGTAGGGTAGGGGAAGGGGGAAGCAGGTGAGCAAGGGAGGAGTGAGAGGGAGAGAGGTGGAAGCAGGGTAGAAAAGGATTGAGGGTAAAAGGTTTTAGGTTGACGGGGGAGAAAAAAGGATGGGAAGATCAGGACTTGGGAAAGGTTGAGCCCCAGGACAGAGCACCACCTCTCCCCCTTCCATGGGGGCCAACTTTGCAGAAAAGCCCCACCTCCCTCAGGAGGCCACATCTCCAAACCCCGGACACAAACACTCACACTCCAGGTAATTTCAGCATTTCCCAGGAGCCCACTTTTCTGTCACCTACAGCTACATGTTCCATGTTCCACCTCCCTCCCCTCTTCTCCAGGAAACCCATACTCTGGACATGAGCCGTACCGGCCACTTACCGGGATGCAGTGGCAAGCAAAGGTGAGCCCACCCCCAGGGCCTGGGCTGGGATGGCACTGGCCTCCATGCTGGCATGGTTGGGACTGGCAGGGAGACAGGACAGTCTGACAGCGGGGACCTGGGTAACAAGGGAGGGGTGAGAGCTGTGGATTAGCCACAGTGAGGGAACACGGGCAGAATCCCAGGCCAGACCGCTGTACTTACCTGTGAAGCCGGCATGGCAAAGGCAGTGGAAGCCCCCACCGGGGTCCTGCAGGCAGTCGCGAGTGTGTGCTGCATGACAGACACCTGGGCGACACTCGTTGATGTCTGCCTCGCAGCGCAGACCAGTGTATCCTGGAGGGCAGCTGCAGCGGAAGCCACCTACCAGGTCCATGCAAGTACCATTGTGCAGGCACCGGGGGCTGGCATCCAGGGGTAGCCCTGGGCCACAGTCGTCCTCATTAATTTCGCAGAGCACGCCTGGGAGAAGGGAGCGTGAAGGGACCATTAGAAGGGGATGGAGATTCATTCTCTTCTCCTGTCCCCCAACCCTGGCCCTGATGTACCCTGTGTCCCGGGGGGGCAGGAACAAAGATATCGAGCCACAAGGTCAATGCAGAAGCCCCCGTGTTGGCAGGGCTGAGAGGCACACTCGTCCACATCATCTTCACAGTTATCTCCAGTGTAGCCAGCTGGACACTGCAGTTGCGGGGGTGGAGACAGGGGCCTACTCAATGCAGAGGAAAAGACACTCCTCATGCAGACCCAGAGCGTGCAAGCACAGATGGATACAGTCACCCAACACAGGAGATATGCCCAGTGTGCAGAAAACACACACAACACAAGGAAACACACTCAGACACAGGACACCGAGACACAGAGGCCACAGACACCATTGCCAAGAGACACACACAGGTCAGAGGCACGGGAGAAACACCCAGATCTACCCCAAACACGACTCTCTAGCTCATGCACTTACAGCAGAGATGCCTTGCACAGAGAAACACATAAATGCTTCCAGGAAACAACTAAAGAGAAAGGCACCCCCAGACCTACCCAGAGAGATACCCACAAAGATACACCCAGAATCATGAAAGCAGAACCCCAGACAAGCCTAAGGAGAGACGCACCATACCAGCCCAGACACACCCAGGCACAACTAGCTCCTCTCTGTCCTTCCTCAGGTGCCCCTTACCTCACACATGTAGCCCCCCATGTAGCCTCGGCAGGTACCCCCATGCTGGCAGGGCTGGGCCAAGCAGGGATCCACTTCCTGCTCACAGTGGCTGCCTGTCCGACCCTCCAGGCACACACAGTAGTGGGAGCCATCCTTGTTCACACACTGCCCACCGGCCTGACACAGCTGCTCCAGCTGTACTCCTGCATGAAGGGGCAGCGGTGTCAAGCACATGTCCCCTCTCCTGCCCGCACCCCACACCCAACACCCCCGGCATCAGTCACAGTCTCACGCCACCCCCGTCTCTCTTGCTCTCGCCAACACACAAACATGCGTGTCTTCAGTCTCCAGAGACACACACTGTTCAGGCCCTGGTCAGCTGTTATTTATACACTCATACTCAGCTACGCCATCACAAATCCTCATCCAGCTCACACCAGCAGAAAGTACGCACACACACAGCCGGCCCCACACGCCTGACCACTGAGTCCGCCTCACCTATCTGGGCTGCCGCCTCCCTGCAGGGCAGGCTCTGGATGTCACAGAGGTGGCCACTCCACCCAGGGGGGCAAAGGCAGTAGAAAGATGCCCCGTTCTGGGAACAGCGACCCCCATTCTGGCAAGGCGAACAGCTACACCAGTCTATCAGCGTCTGGAGGGTAAGCCCATAGCGTTAGGGTTTGTGGAACCCCTAGAAACCACACCCCAACTTCTCTCTCAGGATCTTAGGCAGGCCCCTACCACAGAACTTCCAGACCCTCTCCCAGGATCCCAACCAGGCCCCTTACCATAACTCCCCTTCAAAGCCCTCCCCTATAGAGGCCAGTTCCTCCTGCAGCGTGCCCAACAGACCCCTGCCCAGGGTCCCAGGCTGTCCCCCTGACCTGAGACATTCCTCCAACACTCCTCTGCAAGACCCATGACCCCACCCACCTGGCAGTAGGTGCCTGTGAAACCCTCAGGGCAGGTGCAGAGGAAGCCAGGGTAAGTGGCAGTGCAGATGCCCCCGTGCACACAGGGCTGCGAGACGCAGGGGTCGGCCTCATGTTGGCAGTGTGCACCCACGTAGCCCGGGCGGCACAGGCAGCTAAAGGAGTTCACGCCGTCCATGCAGGTCCCACCATTGAAGCAGGAGCTGAAAAGGAAGAAAGGGGGTGAGTCAGGCCCCACGTCCCCACAGGCCCCGCGTCCCCACAGGCCCCGCCCACTCTCAGACACCCTCCCACCACAGAGTGGGTACACTGAGCCCTTCCCGACTCAGAACCAGAAGCTGCAGCCCCAGTAGCAGCCTTGCCTGTCCTGCCCTGTCCTGCCCCATACCTTCAACTTACCAGGTTCTTCAGCGCTAAAATGGGAGCCACATGGAGAGCCCCTCCCCAGGCCAGGGGAACAGAATCTCTAAGGTCATCTCCAAACAGACACCCTGCCTCCCAGACACAGCCCCACCAGGCCACCAGGCATGAGTGCAGAGGTAGGAGTCAAGTCACGGAGCCCACCAGCCACTTCATCTCAAGTATGATGCCCCAGCTGATGCCAGAGCCCCCACTCCCAAGTAGAGGTCCCACCCACCTGGAGCTGCAGTCTGGTAGGTCCTGCTCACAGTAAAAGCCTCCATATCCCGGTGGGCAGGTGCAAGTGAAGGAAGCCACGTGGTCCATACAGGTGCCAGGACCGCAGGGGCTGCTCAGACACTCATCCACGTCTTGGGCGCAGTGGGGGCCAGCAAAGCCAGGGAGGCAGGAGCACGAGAAAGAGCCCACGCCGTCCTGACAGGAGCCGCCATTCAAGCAGGGGTCTGTAGCGGGGAGCAGGGAGGCCTGTCACTGTCCTGGTCCCCCATCGGCCAGCCTAACCACCCACATCTTGCACAGAGGAGACTCGAGAGGCAACCAGAGTCAACTGAGAGGGCACATTTGGCCTGAGGCATCAGTGTGTCCACTTCTGTGTGGCTCTCCCCTCTAGTATCAGGGGACCTCACCTATATGGGTGAGAACCAAAAGATCCCTTAGAGCTGCCGAGCACCTGCCACTGGTTGGGTCTGCTCTAATCCTGGGCTGGCACAAGAGGCCTCCCCAGACCTTTATTGGCCAGGACTGACCACTGACATGTGTCTACAGAGCCCTTGAAATGTGGTTGGTCCAGGGCACTCTCTGGTGGCGCAGCAGATTAAAGCACAGCACTAAATATGGCTGGTCCAAACTGAGGTGTGCTGTAAGTATAAAATACACACTAGTTTTAAGCCTTGTTTGTTAGACAACATAAAATATCTCAATTATTTTTATTTTGATGACACGTCAAAATGATAGTATTTTTATATGTTTGTTCAAAAGTATAACACATGGGCCCTCCCTGGTGGCACAATGGGTTAGAACGCAGCACTGCAAGCTGGCCTCAGCCGTTTCAGTGAGTTCAATCCCCGGCCCAGACGGCAGACCTCTCCTGACTCGCCCGCTGCTCCCCTCAGCAGTGTACTTCATCAGTCAGCCTGTTCTGCTCCCCACTCTGTCTCTGGTGAAGCCTCTCACTGTCCCTACACCTCTGGACTGTACCCCAGTTCTGTATGCATAAATAAATCAATCTTTTAAAAAAAAGTATTAACACATAGGTATATTTTACTTCCATAATGTGGTTACTAGAAAAATTTTCATTGCGTTGTGTGGCCTGTGATATTTGTCCAGGGGAAAGCAGTCCTGGAGAACTCACTGGTACCTATTACCGCATACTTGCACGCAGCCCTGACTTGTAGTGTAGCCCCAGCAAGTCTGAGGTCTACAGATTTCAGAGTCAGCCAGATCTGTGCTCTATTCCCTGCTCATCCCCTAATGTGCTGCATGACCTCAAGCAAGTACATTTCCTTGGACCTCAATTTCCATGAGTAAAATGGGAGAAGTAAGAAAACGGTGAAGATAAAATGAAAGCCCAGTGCTAGGCACACGCTATGGACTTGATTAACACATTCCCTAGGGCTCTTCCAGGAGCTCCCGCCCCTCCACCCCCCACCCCGCAAACTCACTGGGGTCACAGTCATTGATGTCTTGATCACACGAGGGGCCACTGTAGCCCCCATGGCAGGTGCAGCTGAAACTCCCCGCCAGGTTGGTGCAGGTTCCGTGCAGGCCGCAGGGGGAGGGGCCAGCACACTCATCCACATCCTGCTGGCATCGCGTGCCTGGGGTTTAAGGTGACATCTAAGGTTAGATGTGAGGGTACCTGGTGTTCAACCCAGGGGCTGAGATGAGTGAAGGTAAGAATTAGATGTGTGGTCATCTGCCTCTGGGCATCTGCTCTGGAACATGCTGTTCGGAACTACTTTTTGTTTCAGTAGGTGAAGGTGTCCTCTTAGGCAGGACTTAGTGCTCCTCCAGGAAGCTACCAACGGACCCTCAGCTGAGTTTTCACCTCCCCACATCCCCACCTCATATCCCTTTCGAGTCTCTACAACTGACCCCATGGGCTTGTTGTGTCAGTATCCACCTCTGAAAGCCCTTCTAAAAGGCAGGGCCAGAGGCAGGTCCCCCTCTGGTTCTCTAGAGTCACCCAGCATGGGTACAGAGAAGGCAAAGGGGGAGAGAAAGAAAAGCAGCTGATGTACCTTGCCACCCCGGGGGGCAAGAGCAGACAGCCAGCTGGCCAGGGACAGACTCGCAGTGGCCTCCATGCTCACAGGGGTTCAGAATGCAGGGGGAGAGCAGCTCGCACTGGCGGCCTGTGGTGGGCAGGCAGAGTGACACTGTCTTAAGAGATTTCACGTTCCCATCTCGCCCCTACCCCACCCCCACCAGGGTCTCCACCTTAATACCCACCTCCTAGCTCCTGGGGGCAGAGGAAAAAAGGGCAAATGTAAAGGAGAGAGAGGCCATGAAGCAAAGGGAAGTGAGAAGGAAGAAGGGGGCCAAGGGGGGCGCTGGCAAGGGGAAGTAGGGACAACACACCCTGGACACCAGGGGGACAGGTGCAGCGGAATCCCGTTCCATCACTGGTACAGGTCCCACCAGCCAGGCAGGGCTGGGACTCACAGGCGTCTCTAGCAAGTTTTTGGCTGCACTGGGAGCCACTCCAGCCAGGCTCACACACACAACGGAACCTGTTGGGGGAGGCAGTCAAGGCCAGCACTTGGGCAGGACAGTGGGGAGGCAGGAGAGGGGCAGACGTCTGGGGAGCAGCCTCACCCTCCAGGTGCATCATGGCAGACGCCGTGACCGCAGGGTTCCTGGGCACAGGGATGACTTGGGGGGAGGCAGAGTGGGGGCAAGGAGCCAGGGGGGCAGAGGCAATGGAAGCCGTTGTCCCCATCCATGCAGGAGCCTCCCTCGCCGCAGGGGCTGGAAGCACACTCGTTGATGTCCACATTGCACAGGGCTCCTGGGGAACAGGAAGGCAACACTCGTCCCAGGACGGCCAGCTTTGCCCTTTCAGCCACACCCTTGAGCGAGGACAACCCTATTCTCATAACCTGTCAGCTCTTACAAAGTAGGGCAGGCACCTACTCAACTCAGGTCATCCTCATCCCAACTCACAGGAAAGTCACTTTCATTTCTACCAGTGGTTACCCTGATCCTACTCGGAAATCCCCACCCCGATTGTGGACACCCTCATCCACATTCCAGGGTACTCCTGTGTCGGGTCAAAGAGAGAGAGCAAAGAGTTGTCGACAATCCTACTGACAAGCACGCACAGAGAGGGGCAAAGCATGGCCAAGAAAGATGCGATTTCACCCCCGCCTATAGAGACCCCTGTCCCATGGTAGCCGCTCGCCCACCTGTGAAGCCAGGTTGGCACACACAGTCATAGCGGTTGATGCCATCCCTGCAGATTCCAAAGGTGCATGGGTTGCTGAGACAGTCATCAATGTTCACCTCACAGTTCACACCTGGGGAAGGGGACATGACCAGGTAGCCACCACTGTGCCCTGCCAGGGTTACCATTCCCATGCAGGATGCCTGTTCACATGCACTGTTCCCGCCCAAGCCCAGCCCCAGGCCTCACCTGTGGTGCCAGGAGGGCAGCGGCAGAGGTACTTGTCTACCAGGTCTAGGCATTTGCCCCCATGGCGGCAGGGCTGGCTGCGACACTCGTCCACCTGACTCTCGCAGCGTGTGCCGGTGTAGCCCGGGGCGCAGGCACACGAGAAGCTGGCGATGCCGTCCACACAGCGCCCGTGGTGACACGGGTCTGGCGAGCAGTCATCCACATTGCGCTCACAGAGCACGCCCTCGAAGCCTGCAGGGATTCAGCGGGTCACGGTCCTCCCACTTGCCTCTGGCCCAGCCCATTCCTGGCTCAGGTCTACCTCAGGCCCGGCCTATGGAGGAGCCAGGCTCAGTTCATGCCCCTTCCCTGCACACTCCACACACCTGCAAGCTCCAAGAATTGCCCCGGCCAGGACCCTTCTAGACTAACCCCACCCCCACCCCCCCAGGGTGCCTCAGATCCTCACACTATCAGTCCAGTTTTGCCTCACTCTCACCTGAAAACAGGAATATGCGGGAGGTACCTGAGAACAAGTGGGATCCTTCTTCTTCCTCCTTCTCAGGTCACAAGTGCCCAGTATCCCAGACAGAGGCCTGTAGCCCCACCACTAATCTTACTGCGTAACTGGCTCCACCCCTAGGTTATAACAGGGGGCCGTGCAGCCCTACCCCCAAGTTTTCACCCAAGCTGTCATCAGTCCTTTGGCCCCCCTAACCCAGCCTCCAGTTTTCCCGACCAATCATCAGCCGGCCCTCACCCTCCGCACAGTGGCACTCATAGCCATCAGGCTGGTCCACACACTTGGCGCCATTCCTGCAGGGAGTGCTTGCACATTCATCCACATCCAGCTGACACATGAGCCCGCTGAAACCTGGGGTGGGGAGCAGGGTGAACAGAGGCACAGAGCTGTCAGAGCCTAACTCCTTGCCCACCCAGCCTGCATGAGTTCGATCCCCAGACAGGGAGCTGACCACATGGCACAGCAGACCTCTCCTGTCTCACCCACCTCTCCCCTCAGCAGTGTATTTCAGTAGATCCACCTGTTATGCTCCCCACTCTGTCTCTGGTGAATCCTCTCCCTACCCCCCACCCCCTGCACCTCTGCCATGTACCTCAGTTCTTTGCCCCTGCAGGGACCCATCTTTTTCGGAATCCCTAACCCAGGGTGCTTACCTGAGGGGCAGGTGCAGCTGAAGCCGTTGACTCTGTCCTTGCAGACTCCGCCATTGACGCATGGGCTGCTCTGACACTCATCCATGTCCACCTCACAGTAGGTGCCAGTAAAGCCTAGAGATTGAGGGAAGAGGGTTGGGCCAAGGGGCTACCCTGGGGGGAAAGTTGGGGGTCGGGGGAAATACTCTATCGCCCTCTTATATAGACAGTTCCCTAAGCCTTTGGTTTTGCTTCTGGCCCAAGTTTAGTACAAAATGTGTGCAGTCTCCACCTGAGCCCAGCACAGCCCCTGATCTCACCCTCAAACCATCCCCAAACCCCAGTGTGTCCTAAGTTCCAGGCCTATTCCCAGCCCCCTCTAAGGGGTTCCAGACTCTATTTGATCTTGGCCCCAGCCAAGCACAAGACTCCTCTCTGGTCCCACCTCCACCTCAGCCAGGGTTATGTCTCTTAGAATCTCATTCTAAATTCAGCTCCACCCCACTTCCACTCTCCAGGGTTCTCACAGGGTTCTCTAGCTCCACCCCTAGCCTCAGGACCCTCCTGAGCCATACCCACTACATACCTGCCATGCAGATACAGGTGAACTGGCCTATGCGGTCTAGACATGTGGCCTGGTTTCGGCAGGGCCCAGATAGGCACTCGTTGACATCTGTCTCGCATCTTGGGCCAGTGTAACCACGACCACACTGGCACAGGAATGAGCCCTGTGTGTTCACGCACTGGCCCAGGTGTTCACATGGGTTGGCACCTGTGAAAATAGGCAGAAGGGGGTAGGTGCAGGCAGCTGAGGACTCGCCTCTCCTCTCCTTCCCAACACTAAAATAACATCCCCCTTACCAATGGAGCACTCATCCACATCCTGGTCACATGCTCCACCAGTAAAACCAGGTGGACAGGTACAGATGGCCCTGCCATTAACGGGGTTCGTGTCACAGATAGCATCCTCATGACAGGGATTGCTGACACAGGCATCATCTAGGTGACACAGCAGTCCTGGGAAGCAACAGGCAGCAGTCAAGGGCACACCTTCTAGTTCTGCCCAGTGGCACCACACACCAGCACAATGTTTTCTATTTTGTTTACACTATCCTGCTCTGTAATTTGGTAGCCGTTTCTCCCCAACCATTTATCATTAAATAAAAAAAGTATCATGAGGCTTCCCTGGAGGGCTAGGGGTTAAGTCTCAGCGCTACCACTGCAACAGCCCTCCAGCAGCAAAGTGGCCTGAGTTTGATCCCCCGCCAGGGAGCTGATCTACATGGCGCGGCAGACCTCTCCTGTCTTGCCCACTACACCCCTCAGCAGTGTACTTTGGTAGGTCTGCATGTTTTGCTCCCCACTCTGTCTCTAGTGAATCCTCTTGCTTCTCCCCAGCCATTACCCCAGTTCTCCTATGCAAAAACAAATAAAATAAAAATTTTACATTAAAGGAATAATTCTTTAAAAAATAAGATCACGAAGTTGAATGACAACAATGCATTATGAAAAATGTCAAACATACAGGCAGATCTACTGAAACACACTGCTGAGGGGAGAGCAGCAGGCCGGTCAGGAGGGGTCTGCCACAACATGTGGGTCACCTCCCCAGCAGGGGATCAAACTTGTGCTGAGATCTAACCCATTGCGCCACCAGGGAGGGTCTAGCTTTTTTTTTTTTCTGAAGCAATTGACAATAAATTGGAAACATACACATAACATCTTTAAATCTATTGATCCTTTTTCTGATAATCAATACTCTCATACTTTGCTTCTATAGAAACCTGTCTGATATGCCCTTCCCTCCATTTCCGAGCTACCTCTGACCTTTGCCACTTCCAAATGTCCCCTCTCTTTCTTAATTAGAATATAGCTCATCAGTCCATGGCATCCCCCCTGACTATACGCAAGCCTCCTCCCAGACCTCTCCAAGCTTACCTTTCATCACAAATCTGGCCTCTAGAATAATCACTCTAATGCTCAAGTCGAACCGCAGCCTGGCTGCCACTCTAGAAATATCAATGGCTCTCTGCTGCCTACATAGAAATAGCCACTCACCAGTCTTGCCCATGGGGCAGGCACAGTAAAAGGAGGCCACCCGGTCATGGCAGGTAGCCCCATGGAAGCACACAGCCGTGGCACAGTCATCGATATTCTGACTGCAGCTCTCCCCTGTCCAACCATTGACACACACGCAGCTGTGACCACCCAGTGTATTGAAGCAGGTGCCTCCATTGTGACAGGCGTTGGGTTGCAGCTGACACTCATCCACATCCTCTGTGCAGAACTGGCCTGTGACACACAGAGGTGATAGTCCAGTCACCTGGAACATCCCTACCCAAGGTCTGTCACCCACTCCCTTCAGCCCTATGCTCACCTGTCCACTCGGGAGGGCACTGACAGTTGTAGGTATTCACGCCATCCACACATGTCCCCCCATTTAGACAACGGTGACCTGGACAGTCATCCACATTTACCTCACAGTTCTGACCCTCAAACCCTACCAGCAGAGGAGGACACAAGGATGGTCATTGCCAGGCTGACCGGCAACCCCCAACCCTGACACCTCCCCTGGGCCCCACTCCCTCACCAGGAAGGCAGGCACAGTCGTAGGTGAGATCACTGCTCTGCCTACAGGTGCCCCCATTGCGGCATGGTGAAGGAGCACAGGGCATAGCGGGACTCTCACACAGTGGCCCCGTGTAGCCAGCAGGGCACTGGCAACGAAAGGAGCCAAGGGTGTTGAGGCAGGTGCCACCATGGTGGCAGGGGCCGCCGGTCCGGCATTCATCCACATCACTTCGGCAGCTACGGCCCTGGTAGCCAGGTGGGCAGGAGCAGATGTACCGTCCATCGGTCCCCACTGAGCAGCGAGCACCATGGGCACAGGGGTTGCTGAGGCAGGGATCTGGCAGGGAGCAGTCAGGGCCTGGAGGGACCGGGAGAAGATGAGCTAGGACTGGCCACACTCTTGCCTCCCTCTCCTCCGGGCGCTCCCTTACCTCGGAAACCACGGGGGCAGCGGCAGGAGAACCGGGCAGCACCCGCCACCACAGAACTCTGGCAGACACCACGGCCAGCACAGGGTCCCGAATGGCATGGGTCTTCCAGCTGGCACCTTTCACCTACCCAGCCTGGTGGGCACCTGTGAACAGACAGCTGTGTGGGACCCGTACAAGGCAGGAGTGTCCCAGGCATGAATTATATCAACAGCCCAGCAAACACACATGCTTGTTCAATCACCCACAAATAGTCACTAAGTACCTACTCTAGTCTTAGCAATAGAAGTGCAACAGAAAGCACAATACAAATGGCCGGCACCCTCTGGATGCTCACAGCCAGGTCAGGCAAAAAGACAATATACAAATAATGAATTAATATACAACAGCAGGGGATGGTAAGGGTCACGAGGACCATAAAAATGTAGTGGGTGGAGTGGTAAGGGCAGAAAAAAAAGGCCTATGTCCCAGAACCTGCGAATGTGACCTTATTTGGAAAAAGTCTTTGCAGATGTAAGTGACAGATGTAAAGATGACATCATCACAGGCTGAAGAAGGTGAGGGAGGAAGCCATGGGGCAGTGTAGGGAAGGGCATGCCAGGAAGCAGGAACAACAAATGCAAAGTCTCAGGTTCCAAAAGACAAACACTCAGCACATGGAGACTGGTGACGGGAAAAACACAGATACACAGAGGGACACATCGATTCCATGTACTGTCAATACCCAGACACCCACTCACATCCTCCTACTAAGACATGGCGGACCCCACTGATACTCCTCTCCTGGGGGCATATGAACTACTTCCTTCCATGGCTGGAAGCAGAGATTGTCACTGCTGCTGTACCCCACTTGCTGAGGGAAGGTCCTTCAGTCTGCAGCCCCTCCCCAAACCCACCAAGCAACCTTGAGCCTGAGAATAGGAAAGTTGGAAGTGTTCTTAGGACTGGAAAGCTTCAGAGGGACAATGGTAGGGGTCAGGGGAGGTCCTTGGAGAGGCCAGTGCGTTCAGCCCAGCCTCTTAAGCTGTCCACCCCTCACGAGGGTCCTTCCCTCTGGCTTGTGCCCACAGCTTGGGGCCAAACTAAAAAAGCTGACCCAGTCTTTAGCCTCACTCACAAGAACTCCTCATACTGGCCCCCAACAAAACAGGTTCACGGGGCCGGTGCGGGGTGCAGATGGCCCTAGGAGGGGAGGGCCCGGCTCCCTAAGACCCGCAGCGGAAGAACGCCCGCCCAGACTGCGTTCCGGGAGGGGGCGCACTGCGCCGGCCGCCCAGGACTGCAGTCCCACCGCCTGTCAGGGCGCGGCCGCGTGGACCCCTCCCGGCGCCGAGGGCTGATTCCCACGCTCTGCGCCCCGCGCCCCTGCCGACCGGTCGGGCCGGTTCCAACCTCCACAGCGCCCCGCCCCGCAGCCAGAGCTTTGGGGGAGACTAAAGCGGGGAGCGAGGACTGTAGTGGGAGGGTTGGCAGGAGGAGGCGAGGATTAGAAGCTAGAAACAAGGACATGGGAACCTACTTTGAGGGGGACACTGGAGGACCCTGCGGAATGTGACAGACTGGGGCGTCCCTCAAAGAACACGCGCATTGAAAGAGATCGGGAAAGGGAGAGCTGCCGGGAGTGATTCCCACGGCGCTGCGCCGGAGGACGAGCCCGCTCCACCTCGGGCTGGCCCGGCTCCGGCTCCGGCTCCGGGCGGTAGTGCGCACCGGTGATTCACCTGTCCGGAGAGGGGGCGGGGCAGCCGCGGGCGCGTTCACCTGTCGGCAGGATTCCAGGTGTGGAGCTCCAGTGTACAGGTTCTCCGCCTCCCGTGTGAGAGGCTGTGAGAACGGTCACACGTTCTCCTATCCCCACCACAGCAGACTCCCAGCCCAAGAAAAAAATTTAGTGTGGTTAAGACCCAAGTAGGGCTCCAAAGTGCACGTGTAACTTCAAAAGGCCTCTCCTGGATCTTAAGGCACCCCAGATCTATCTAGCTTGGCCAAGTACACTTGTTGAATAAATGAATCCATTAATGAATCAATTAATAATAATAATATTAAGAAAGGAACTAAGTGTTCCCCCCAACCGTAAGAGTTTACTAGCACGGCACCGATTTCCTGTGTCCCTATCATCAGTCTTACTTATAATAATAATCCCCATCTACTGACACTTACTATATGCTGAGTACTGTGATGAGTTTATCAAGTGAAGGTTCTCTTCATGTTACAATCAACCCCGTTAAGAGGAATTACTACTCCTGCAAAAAGAGGCTCAGAGGCTCAAAGCTTTTGCTCACTGTCCCAGAGCCCAGAACTTAAATGGAGTTCTGTCTCCTTCAGCAATCCCTCCAACCAAGTCTCTGTCTTTCCTTGCATTATCCAATGATTGAATTCTTAGATCCCTTCATGGTCACAAGTCACAGAGAAGCACCCATATTTCACAATGCAGTAAGGTTCCAAAAGGGGAGGTGACTAATCCAAGGTTATATGGCAAGAACACAGCAGAACAGGGCTGTCTCACAGGTCCTGAGATAGGAGAGGGTATCTGCTACTGTCAAGTCACTGTCAATGGTCCCCCTCCACTAGGGACACTATGAGGTGACCTCAGGCAGTGAGAACTTTGTGAAATTGTGGTTATGGTCCCAACTTTCCAGACTAGGTGACTGAAACTTAACAAGTTTAACTTCCTAACAGTGAGCAACAGGATTTGAACTCTGGGCAGATTCCAGACCCCTGCTCAAGTCCAATGGAGAGACAAGAATGTGCCCAAGCCAAACACACACAGGAGGCAGTAGAGTCATCCATGGTGGACACAGAGGCAGGGCACAAGGCAGACACTTCCCCACAGAGGGGCCACTGATGGCTCAGAGCCAGGCACTCACAGGCAGGCAGGCTCCCGGGAGGGCAGCTGGGTGCAGCGACCTCCATTTGCACATGGGCTTCCATCCAGGCAAGGGGGAGCTGTGGGGGTGGTGAAGGAAGGTGGAAGGGCGGTCAGGCAGGCACACAGGAACCCCAGCCCGTGACAGACCCCCCCACCCCAGGCAACAGCTGCATCGAGCTGGGGGTGTCTCTATGGGTGCAGGGAGCCCCCACCATCTACAGTTCCCACGGCCCCCTGCCCTGGTCCCAGCTGTTGGGGCTGCAGCTGTCCCTGCCAGCTAGAACCCTGGGAACCACGAGACAGGGGCAGGCAGGAGGAGGACCAGATGTGGGGGCTCAGGAAACTTCCAGAATGAGGGTGTTGCGGCAGGAAGTGAGGATGCTGAGTGCCAAAGGGGGGCCTGGGGCTGTGTACCCCAAATGGGACGGGGAGAGATAATGAAGGGCATGGGAGTAGGGAATCTTACTTTCCCCTGATGCCCGGCATCTACTCCAGCAGGGCTTTGGGGAGAGGCCAGGGCATGTTCCCCACACCTAGCCAGCACTGCATTTACAAGAATAGCGTATGTGCCGAAGGGTGGGGCAGCTGGCACAAGACGTGAGCTGCCCTGTCCAGCATCCCCATCCCTGAGGGCTCAGTCCCTCTAGGGTGTGGTACAGTTTAACTGTCCTGCCAGATGGGTCAGGGGAGTGGCTGGGTGTGAGGTAGTGGAGAATTGCAGTTTCATGTGCAGGCAGGTATGGTGCCACTGTGTGTTTGGGGGGAGGGGGCGGTGGAGAAAAACAGATAGCTAGGCATGAAAGAGGAAATTAGAAGCAAGCCAGCACAGAGAGGAGACAGTTGACAGAGGCAGACAGAAAGGAAGACAGCGAGCTAGTGAGACAGTGAGTTGAACTGACATCTGATTGGGCCAACATGGGAAATGTCTCTCCTTTAAGGTTCAATCAGACAGGACACTATCACCCAGACAGACACCTGTGAGTGTTTGTGAATTCACCCTGAGGACCACACGACAGTGGCTACTGGCCTCTATTGGGCTGTGGGCTATGTGAACCTCGTATGTTTCTGGCACTCATGGATATAGACGTGTGTTAAATGCATGTAGGCTGGATCTGTTGTGTGTCCATGTAAGCACCATGCATGGGGCATAGTCTTGTATCTGTATGTGTATATGTAGTGTGTGCACGGGTATGTCTGCGTATGGGCTGGGTGTGCCTATCTGCACGTGGGAGCTAGATGCAGGCATGTCCTTGGACATGTCTCTGTGCATCTGAGTGTGTGCAGGCAGCTGTATGAGAACTTGGGCAGGTAATGCACCATGTGTGTGAACAAGTGTGAGTATCCGTGCACATTTTCATTGTGAGCTGTGTATCTTGTGTGAGCTGAATGTGTAGCACATCTGGAGGTACGCTCTGTGTGTGCATGCAACCGTATCTCCGTATGTGTGGCCCAGAGCTGTGTGTGCCTACGAGTGTGTGACAGGCCATGTGTACATATGTGTGCACAAATGTACACTTATTTGCTAGAAAGCCCCAAGGGGTGGCCGCTCCTGCCCAGTCCTGCCCCACTGGCCCCATAACTGGGCTGAAGGGACCATTCCCACCGGCGTCCTTCACCTTTCTCGGATGAGCCCACAGTGGTGTCAGAAGACATAGGGCCTAGACCCATAGGCCTGCCCTTGTGCCTCATTCCCGGGCTAGGCCTCTCTTGGGGGTGCGCCCCCTAAGCCCCCGCCTGGGCCCTGCCGCCGGTCCTGCTTTGTCTGGCAAAGAAAGCGCGAGGCCGGCCAGAGGGAGGGGGTGTCTAGACGGCGCGGCCATTGTCCCGGGCGGGGGAGGAGAGAGCGAGGAGGGGGAGGGGCGGGGGTCCCCGGCAGTCAGGGGAGAGGTTCTGGCTGCAGGGAGGGGGCACTGGAACCCGAGAGGAGCACGTACGTTCGGGCCCCCAATTCCTCTCCTCTCCTCCCCGTGAGGGGGCGCGGTCTCGGGGTCGCCTGGTCCAGGCAGCAGGGGAAGGGAGTGGGGCATAGGACCGGGAGGGGGGAAAGGGGCGCAGGCTTCGCTGTGGCTCCAGCTCCAATTCCAGCTCCGAGTCTTGGCGCGCTCCGGTCTGGGAAGTTTTCTGCGAGTTCAGAGCTCCCAGAACTTCGCGCCCCCTCCCCACCCCACCCCCGCCCGCCCTCCCGCCCGGCCAGGCCTGCCCCGAGTAAGTGCGTGGTGGGGGTTCGGGGGTGCCTTTTGTCACGGGGTACTGGCTCCCACCAGGATCCAGACAGGTATGGGTTCAAAGAGAGTCCCAGAATCTTGGTACCCACCCCCGTCTCTGGTCCCCGCACCTCCAGTTTCCAGTCACGGACTTCTGGATCCATTCATCCCCAGTCTGATAGCTACAAGGTTCCCGTTCCTCAGACCTTTGGGACCCTGCCCTCCCATGCTGAATCCCTACCCCCATTCAACCCTGCCGCTCCCCCCACCCCCGAGGTTGGCCCAGAGGCTCCTGCGCCCCGAATTCCCAGCTCTGGTCTCCGGCTCCAGTCCGCCCTCCCCAGCCCCCTCCTCCACCCCGCCCCCGCCCCTTCCAGACTCCGGAATCCTAGCGCTCCGCTCTCCCCACCCCCCAGGTCCCGGCCCCTCACCTGCAGCCCCCGGCCCCGCTAGCAGCAGCAATATGGGCAGCGACCGCACGGACGGCAGTGGCGGCGGCGGCGAGATCCGGAGGCCGCGGTGGTGGCGGCGCCGGGCCCCCGGCCCCATGGCGACCGGCCGCGACCCTCCCTCCTCCCTCCTTCCCTGGGCTCCGGGCGCGTCCC